TGTACTTTGACGAGAAAAATTAATTGAAAGGAGATTTTCTTCTCCCATCCATACCTGATTCAAAGCATCATAGAGACTCTCGTAGAGACTCTCTAAATTCAGAAGGATTACAGTCCGTCCTGTCTCCATGCATACCTTAATTCGATTAATGTCTCGGCAGACCTTTAAATATATGCAAAAGTAAAGGGTCGTAAATTCAAATCACAACTCAATTTATAATCCACAATTTAAGCCCCAACAGACAGCGTGTCCACTATGGCTTTAGTTGGACGGTCTAATCGACCAGTTTCCTTGTTAATTCAGACGTTTTACTAAAAAGACTTTACCGGCCATAGGTTTACTTGATCGTTTACTACTCGCACGAAACATACTGATCTCAGTTAAAACGGTCAAAATGACTAACTTTGACGAATATTTTCGTATTATTCGTCATTATCTACACATACCTAATGGGACGAGTAGCTCTTCTATCACCTTTACATTACAAGTTAAGTCAATTTGTTCAAGTTGCGATTTTATTTATCACAAACGCCAAAGATTACAGCCGTATCCTCTGAAGATGATTTTAAATTAAAGTTTCAAGGGAGCATCCTCTTGAGAAGCTGAAATCAACCTATTGGCTTATCAACCATCAAGGTGAATTCGCCTAAATAATGTGGAGCAACTACCATTAGTTATGCCACCTTATTTAGTAGTCAAATTTAATGTGAACTACTATATGTAATACGAAGGATGTCTGCCTACCTTGCTTAGGAGTGTTACAAAGTGTAAGTACCTGTGTGTACTCCTGATCTTTCGGAAAGCTACTCCCAAAAATTACGACAGGTTCGTCACCAGGTCGAGTTTCATCATCACTTCGAAGAAACTCTTTCCAAACAATCGGCAGAGCGGCATAATTTTCTGTAAGTACCAGTAGGTATCGACTCTCTCTGTTTAAACAGAAGAAAAACGCCTTTGAAGAAGAAACGCTCCACTTATCGTTTTATCTTAGATGAACAACGAGTTAAAACTTAACCTTGGCAGGTTATTTAACGATAGATAGCGGGACCAAGCAACTGAGCCCTACGCAGTGATGACTTACATAACATTTAACTTCTTTCTCACCCTTTCGCGTCCTTTTGATCTCTCAGGCTTGCCTTGATCAGATTCAAAGCAGACGACAGATCTTCATTTTGCTCCATCTTCAAAAGACAAGAAGTAGATATGCATACGCACAAGACAAGAATTAGATATGCATACGCATTCGAGTTAATATATTTAAGCTCTTCAAAATTTTTAAACCAACAAACAATAAATTACAACCAAATTTCCTTCTCGATGAAAATATATTTTCATTCATTTTGTAACGGTTTTTCAAACAAATGTACGGATCATTTTAATACATTTAGTCAATTTTTATGTTGCAAAAAAAAAAACAGTCGGTAAAGGTAAACTAGACCAAAAAAATACCGGTAAAATACCCACCATACGGCTTTCACCCAAAGCGAATTGTTTGAAAATTTCCACAGGTTTAATCTCATCCAGTCCCCCAAAGTTTCTTCTAATGGCATGTTCTACCTCAGGCCAACGTGGCTCGCGACCTTGCTCCTCAGCAACTTTGTACACCATCTTCACAAGGCTTAAACAAGAAAAATTAAATTTAAATCCTCAGCTTCCAAAACTTGATAGACTTCAGCATGTAACGAAATTTGGCTCTGAGCCTCAATGTTCGAAGGTTATTGTGAGGATAAGTGACATGGCAATTACTTCTAGGAGTTAGAGCTACATGCAATATTCTTTGTGATAAAATTTAGCTTCCAGCAGCTACTTCAAACATTTCACCAAGTATGCAATCTTCCTTACCATCAAATTTTGTTACATAGAGAAATCTGAAATATCCGTTTGCAGCAGCCAAAAGGGGGATGTAAGTATATAAAAAAATGCGTAAAACTTAAAAGATTAATACAAGACATGATTGCAATAAATAGGCCAGGATAGCAAGTGTAGTCGCGGGTCCTACTGCGGCTAACCCCATCTATGGTAAAAAATAGGTGACAAAATAAGGTAGCATGTAAGAGGCTACAGTTGAGGAACCCGTCTCTGGACAGTCCTAGCCGAAAACCTACAACAACTGCACATGAGCGTAACACATAATATTGAATGTGTAGAAGACTAACATGAGAACTATCAGAATTACCGAATAAATCGAAATGCTACCTGTAAAAATCCCGAAGACCAAAAAATTCATCTTTTTTGGACTCCTGCAAGGTCTCAGACCGTCTTTGAGTATCGTACAATTGTTCGTAACCTCTTGCCAGGGGATTCATAAGTGGTGCAACAAAACTTTGTATTCGTCTATTGGTGGAACAAATGCCCCTACAAAAGAAAGAGATTTCATGTTGTGACCAACGTCTCTTGTATGATAAAGCTGCACGTTAGATATCAGTATAAACTACCTCATTCCTGAACCCGAATTTAAATTCCTTTTTGTACTTCTCATTTATTACAAGTTTACATTTCACTACACTGCAAGATGAACTGAAAATAAGGTCGCGGACATGATTTTAAGTCTTTTGAGTTGTAGGCTGACATTTTCAACATTTACTGAGGGAAAACCTTACATTGCACTTTCCACCAGTTCCTCTGAATCAGGCAGACCACGTGATAACATAATTCCACGGTTCATTTTGGCAGGGTCTAGAGCCCAGTTAGAGATCCCAATGAAGGCCACTCTTTCCGGAAAGTGCCCTTCAGTGGCAATGACGTCATCAGTTGAGTTCACCCCATCTTCAAGTAGCGGATGAAGAGTTTTCAGGGGCATCAAAGGTGAGTCTTCAGCGAGGCCAACCTCGTCCAAGACCACAACTGACACAAACTTGTCTGGGTTATTGGCTTTCTGAAGGTTGCAGCAATTGCGGAAGGTTGCCATGATCCCTTCTGCAGTTGAGAGCGGACTGCACTGATAAGAAATCATCTGGACCTGGTTTAAAATGAATGTATTTCCGTCAGTGATAACTGAAAATAGACATACTTTGTCAAGTCACGGATACACTGCCAGACAGGATGCATCATGACTTTGCATCAGTGATGAGTGCTTATTTTGTTCACGAATGCGCCATAAAACCGCAATCACCATCAATGCACAACTAATTCAACCTGTTTGTAAGTAGAACAAGAGAGAGAGGTAAATTTAAAGCTCGGTAAAGAAATATATTTTTAGTCTTCTCACGAGCGTGGGACAAAGAAATAATTCTAAGTGTCCATGAGGAACCAACCTCAGACCTTTGGATTCCGTGCCTGGATGCTCTACCACTGAGCTACAGAGACTCAGAAAGTTCATATATGTGTCCTATATGAACTTCGAAATAGCCGTGCTCAACATAGGGTCTGTGTGGCTCAGTAGTAGAGCATCGGAACGAGGAATCCGAAGGTCTGAGGTTCGATTCCTGATGGGGACTCAGAATTTTTTCCTTCCCCACATTCGTGACAGGACGAAAAAAAAAATCTTTCTCTACTTAAATCTGTGTTTTCATAACCGTACTCTCTTTTAAAAAAGAACAGTTTGTACATACAAAATCATACATCTACCTGCTTGAACGTCTTGAAGAGAGCAGACCTTGAGGCATCTCCAAGCATGTTGTCAGTTACAACAGTCTTGGCAAGTGACTTGGAGCTACCCGGTTTACCGACGACAAACAATGGAATCCTCAGCTCAATACATACCACCATCATGAATACGTTTTCGCTCAAGGCCGTATTGCGAGCAATGTTATCCCCTAGTTTCAGTTCATTTAGTACTGCCTTCTGACAGCTAAGGGAACAAAAATGTACAAAAAAATTGTAACAAGCCGAGGCTACAACTTACAAATAATCAAGTCTAACCCGAAAAACGAAAAAAATAAAAAAGTAAAAAAAACGAAAATTATGCCTCGACCACAGGGCAAATGTTTGACAGCATTACCTTGCGATTTCCTGCAGAATACGTTCATGTCCACCTGGTAGTTGACACGGATTTGCGAAGCTTCTTGCAACAGCACGACGATATGGCTCTCTGTTTTGGAGGCGTGCGTGGTAACAAACTCCAAGGGAGAGCACAAGTGCTCGAGTAACATCATCAAGAGGCTTAATCAAAATGAAAACAAATTGTGTTGTGTTATATTCATTACATCTATCGTGGCAAACATTAACAATACTTATATAAGTAAATCCGTGTACTATGTGTGCTCGCAATAACACCTCCTTCTCGTCTGATACATAAATAGAGCATTAAGATGACCTTTCGAGTGATTATACGGACGGTGATGTTAGTTCATGGTATAACGACCATGATTGCTCGAGCCAAATCAGTGAGAACATAAAGTATTATTCTCTATTGTGAGGCAAAGACCAAGGTTTTTTTTTACTGCAAAAGGCCTGGTTGAGCTTATTCGCGAAATCACTCGAAGTAAGGATAGGTAAAGCAAAACTAGCAGGTTCCTTCGACCAACAACCTGGGTTTGAAATAAACAGCACCACAATATTGCGTTTAGAATTTCATTTTATGAGAATTACTTGAAATATTTCATCCTCCTCATCATCGGCATCGCTGTCGTCATCGTCGTCATCTTCGTCATCACTGTCTTCATCGGTAGCACCATCCATTAGGGGATTGAGAGCATCACGATGATTGTAAAACCAAACCATCACATTCATAGCACGTTCTACATCGCGAAGACTCACAAAACTGCATTCATCCTGTTAAGTTTAGTTCAGTCAAATCATTTGAACAGAGCGTAAAAGGAGTTAAGTTACGATAGTCTGTATTTCGTGTTAATGTGAAACAGTTCCTTAAACCTAAGATTGTCAAATAGGTTGACGTACCGTTTGGTGTCTCATGTAACGCTGGGAAGCTGTAAGTATGGCTGTTAAGGCTTTCACCAGTGGAGGCTCTCCCGGAATTTTCGCTTCCTGTAAAACCTTGTTTAGAAAAAGGTGAAAAGGAGCTTATAAAATGACCGCTTTTTGTTTCAACCGTATCCATAAACAACACATTCTTAAGCTTTGCCATCTTCTCTTGACAGCAACAGTGAAGATTAACTCACAAATCTGGTGACAATTTGACGGATGTAAAGCTCCTCAATTTCAGGCTTAAGCTGACCGAAGTCCCACACTAACGGACGCATGCTCTCTGGCAGTGCATGAACTCTGTAAACCAGATGGCGAAGAGGAATGTGACCTTGAAGATTAAAAGAGAGAGCTTAAAAAGTCATTCTTGGAAGCGCTTGAGAAAACTGACTTTCCAAAGACGAAGTGCCGCAGGCCAGGAAAAATTAATTGTTAGGGTTTGTGAGGTTCATTTTCAACAGCACACTAAGACTAAAGTTCACCATAAGCCTCTTTTATTCTTAGAAGCGACAAAGCACAGAATATCGCAACATCTGTGTATCATGCTGGTCTGCGCATCTGCGCATATCGTAGTCATAACAGGCCCTAGTTCACCCCCGAATTCATAATAATGTCATACCCAGGCGATCGCGTGTCTGTTGAGTGGCAACATGGTACCCTAGTCCAGCTGACTCCAACTTATGAATCATTTCGTCCGTATGTCTGTAAAACAAAAGGTAAGTATAATTTTTGACTCCTTTAACAGTACACTGAAAAATTCGCCACTATATTTTGACTCACTTTCTGTAAGGATTACACGCTGCAATAAACTGCAGCCTTTTAAGCCCTACTCCTATCTTTCTGCCGTTGACTCTGCGATCAACCATAACCTCCTTGATCATTCCTAAGGCATCAGTTGTGTTAGCCTCGTCAAAAAACAAAACTGTGTCGATGTTCAACGTTTCGTTCTCCGTGGCCATTGCCTCAGCATCTTCCACTTTCTTTTTAATGTCTTCGTAGGTAGTACCTCCATGAACCTGTCAATTAAATCAACTAGGTTGCAATGATGGTAATGTTCACTTAAAAAAAAAAACCAACAATAGAGTAGATGACAAAATTTCCCCGCGTCATTTCTCCTCTATTTCTTTTGACATTTTAAATTAGCTTATGCGTAGAAAAATCAATAACAATTTTTTCTACAACTTTGCGATGGGAAAAAATTATTGTTCATTTGTCCATGACACAAAGAAAGAAATCAGCGAAGAGAGTAATTTTAGATGAAATTAGATAAACAGTTAAGACGATAAGTATGCACCTCTAATCGTGGCATTAAAAGTTTGACTGACGGTGGTTTGACTAGAATGTTCTAAATCATACCACTATCAAGGGACTAGGTTATGATGGACTCTTCCAAAGAGTATTCACAAATGGGCAAAATCACTCTATAAAAAACAACCTGTTTATTTCTTACCTTCATTAGCAGCATGTTTTTAGGTCCACCAGGCCCAGACTGTAAGCCACACATGTACCGAATAAGGCATGTTTTGCCACAGCCAGTCTCACCCATGATGACCACAGGAATGCCACACCTGGAGCCAAATTTATAATATTAAGAGAAACATGCGAGAAACTTATAACCAGTCGTAAGTTTTTAAAACATTTTTTCGATATTTATTTCCACCATTTTTTTCTTTTACAATCAAAATTAATTTTCATAACTGTGAAAAAAATTCTAACTTTGTACAACAAAAATACGTTTACCATTCTACCTGAATCGCATGTGGATGGCTAGAATTTTCTTCAAGTTGTCCGTGGTGAGTTCGTACGAGTCGTCTGGATCATACGGCCATTCGACACCCATTACTCCACAGAGTTTCTCAATCTTCTGGCCCCTAGAATTGGAGGAATAGTAAGAGTACCTATATGAAGCACTTGGAGACTTTCTACTACGATGGAGAACTCAAATGAAAAGCACCGATTATCTGTTCAATGCCTTATTAGATGAAGCAGGGTAAAATAAGCTCCTACAATGCTATTCAAAACTTAAAAATTCAAGGCGTAAGAAATTCTATCCTCTATAAAACATTAAATCAGCTTCACACTTACTTGCTCCAAGATTCATAGTTGGTTTGCATGTCAACCTTTTGAACATGGAGGCCAGTACGCAAGTGCCTCGACATCAAATTTTGCTGAATGATAACATGACGATCTGGATCGATTAAGTTCCCATTTGGGTCAATATGAAAGCCAACGAAAGTCATAGTGATACGATCCTGGTTGAAGAATATGTACGGATGCGAACTGCAAAAAAATAATGATAATGAAAGTAACTCAATAAATAAAGAAATGGATAAGAAGATAACTAAATTAATATCTATATATCTACAGAATGAAAACGAGATAATACTAATGGAAACTTGCGCTTTTTTGCCTTTCTATTTTAGTTCACATACCTCTCCAAAATTGCTTAATAAAGGTCTCTAAACAATTTGCAAGGCTATGACGGAACTTCAACTAAGCCCTCCTGGACAAACAAGACGTAGACGTATCATTATGTATAATGTTTCTCGAAGTGGTTGGTGCAATTTTGAGGAGAAAAAGACAGCAATAGCAAAAGAAGTTGTCCTGACAAATTCAGCGAGGTTTGTCACGCAGCTACGTTTATTTCTGACCAGGGTGTCATGGCTTCAAGTTAACAAAATTTACAAGGAAGATAAGTGATGAAGTTCAAAAGAGAGTAAGTGGATGCAACTGTTGTACCTGGTCTCCCAATGTCTTCTGAGAGTAAACTGTGTAACTACAGCTGCTGCTTCATCATCGACCGCATCATCATCCGGGCCAGGAGTGTAAGTGGTTTGTTCGCAAGAATTTAGGGATGGTGTGGCAAAATCCTAAAAAGTTTCATAAATTAACATTTTCAGCAAGTATATTACTACCTTGTCATTTTAGCTGTCGTTGACATCGATTGCAATTCTTCTCTCTTAATAAGGGAAAGGATGGTATTTGTGGCCTGTTTACTCTGGTCTTTCAGAATCACCGGTGGGTAATTAAATGCACTGATGAATGTATGATATTTGAAGTTACTCATGATTAAAAAGTGGAGGAAAAATTAAATGATAGACAAAGCCAATGGGACGTGACTTATTAGTTACCTAGACAGGTCGGCAATGAATAATGCAAAGATCGATGGATAACGGATTGTGTGAGGACTATCACAATGACTGTTTGATGGATTCATTTCAGTGTTGTTTGCTGAGATGCGTTTAATGATCTAATAACTTACCCGTGACATTAAAACCATAAAACGAACCACAAAGCTTCTAAAACCCTCAAGTGTGTCTCCTACCAATTCCATGTTACAGAACGAGCTGTCTTCACAGGTTTGTAGCTGGGAGTCGAGAAAGTTCACAAAGTGGCGTATCTCCGCCCACGAAGGGTTCTCGATACCACAATTTCTGTGGGTGGATTTGTTTAGTCAGCAGAATATTAGTTGAACTTTTTAATACAGATAAACAGGGATCTAATAACCACACACCTAAAATGTTCCTCATCTCCTAATGTGCCTTTAGTTTTATGTTTACTTGTGTTCCAAGGGTATTGCATATTAGCTTTGTTGATGATAAATTCATATAATGGCATGGTCATATAAGCCCCAAAAAGTAGCTAAAAACGAAAATGCTAATGTTCATTTATACTTTAAAAATTTCAAGAATGTCACCAACAGTAGATTTATTCTAATGATATGTTGGGAGACAACTGGGCTGATCCATATTGAAAGAAGAGATTCGATTATTTTATGAGAGCCTTTGCAATTCTCCTACAAACATTGAAACAGTACAACGTAAAAGCAATTGACTGAAAGGAGTTTGTTGAAACATGGATTGTAACATAGACAAATCAAAGGATTCTTTACCTTGTGAGTATCTCAATGCACTCTGTATGGTCACCCATCACTTGACCGGGTACAAAGCAGAAAGTATCCAGATTTTGGCCTCCGGCGTCACACAACTTGAGGTACTGAAAGGCTCGCTGAACATACGAGCTCTTAAATTCAGCAGCGTCAAACAAGGGGTCCAAACTCTTGCCAGCTAGGTTGGGACAGAAAACAAAGAAAACGGTAGTGCACTCCACAGTTTCTTGTTCGCAGTAAACCAGAAATGCTGTCACAATTAATGTATATCAGGGGGCCCTGCTTTGCATTTTAAAAATACCGTCGCACACAACTAATAGGCGCTGATTTAAATTTATAATAGTTAGAATCAATAAATTATGTATTCTAACCTGTTGGATTAGTTCTCAATTTAAATAATGTTTGCATAGGTGTTCCACAATGAATAGTGGGAAGAAGCCTGTAAAAAGGCTCTGCTGTGACTTTCTTGGAACTAACAACCTGTTGAGACAAATAAAAGCATTCGGCTTGAAAGTCTTCTTTTTTTGTTTTCCAAATTCAAAATTTTATTGACCTTTGCAGTCTTAAGTCGTTTCTCAGCAGTTTGGTTTTCCCCTCGAGGTAGGGCTGAAGTAATTTCAATAACATAGAGGTCGGAAGATCGACGCCTCCAGATCTGACCAGTACAACTCTTCAAGGCACCAAGGATAAACAGATTAAACAGAAGTGTATCCAGACCAGTTCTGACCTGAGGAAATATTCACCTGTTAATACTAATAATAACCAGCATCTCTGGACGATACATATAGGAAAAAAAAAAAAAAAAAAAAAAAGTTTACCGAGGGATGCACATCAAAGTGAAATATTCTGGATATAGGTAAATCAGGAGCAACGGTGTGGTGCAATAAGGACTCGACCACAGCACTTTGGTGAATAATCGGTCCATAAATCGGTACATTAATGCAAAGTGGCATATCGGTATTCATGTCCCTCAGGTAGTCCATTACTGTTTCATTATTTTGAAGTTTACTAAGGCGTTGGCTGAGTCGACAAACAGCTAAACTTTTCCCAGATCCAGCTCTTTCTGATGACATAACTCTTACAGCTAGCCTGTTCAACAGAAACAAATAAATTGATTACTTACCAACTTCTTCACCTATCCTTTATTTTAAACCGTCACCAAGTAGCCTAGCTATCCCATACGAGAGAAAAATTCATCCGTGTTCTTATATGGGATTTTGGATTCCAATCGGTCTTATCGAATATCTCAGAAACATCGTTCATTGCCATTCCCGAAACTTAATACATAATTGGTACCATTGTACTCTAAAACCCAAGGGGAATTTCAATCTTTACAAACCATCCTCTATTTTCGTGTGGTAAATAGGCCCTTACCCTTCTCTGTCTAATGCAGCTGCAGGAATCCAAGGCAATGTTCGACCTCTGAACTTTCCTTGTTGTTGAGTACGTGGCTTGAACTGTTCTTTCAGGTACTGCCTTATCTCTCCGGACGAACGACAATGGGGAATAGTGCCAAGCCTGTACTGATCAAGAGCTGCAGCCATGTGAGCTCTGTCTTCATTTTCGGAACTACAGATAACCACAAGAGACACGTCTGAAAAAGAATTTTACTGATACTGTTAAAAGAGATCAGTGATTAAAGCAGAAAATATCAAATAATAGACCTACATGACAGAAAAACATTATTAGTACCATAGACAAAAAGAAAGCGAACAAATGAAAAGCTGCTACCCTGTAATTGAACTTTAAGAGGAATTTTTAACTCCACTTAAAAGAGGTTAAATTTTGGCGTAAAAAGGAGAGGTTTCATCAATAATTTAGGAGAAGTAGCAACCTATACCATATACCTTGTATTTTCTTCTTGTATCATCAAGGTTAATCTAAAAGTACTTGTTTTGCTGATAATTGTTTGTTGTCCTACACTGGAAATTAGTTTCTTTTGTAATAGTAACTGCTCAATTGATGGCAAAATTAATAGGAATGTAGACTCTCACTAGTTTACAAGGAAAATAACGAGTGGTCTGTCAAGTTTCAAAATTAAAAGCTTCCGTTTCTAATATGAAGGCAAATGTAAAGCGCAAATTATAAGCAATAAGAACGTGATCAAGATTTAACAGTTAGGGAAGAACAACTGTACAAAAATAAAAATTCTAGTTACCCTCATTTCGACTGTATTGAGGCTCATGCAGAAAAACATCTAAGACGTCGGCAGCCTTTTGGGAAACACTGTAATCAAGAAGGTCAACATTTACCAGACAAAACAACCTGCCATCGTGGTCTGCCAGGGATCTTCGCCACAATAATTCAATCTAAGAGCAAAATGGATAGTGTTGAAGATCGCCAAGTGCCTTATGATTTTTACTCATTAAAAAGTGAAACACAAAAATACTTCATGGTACCAAGTGTTACTTACAGTTTGTATCATTTACAACTTCACCTAAGGTAATAGTCAGCCGTAACGTATCTCTACTGCCAATATTTTTTGAGACTAAAATACCACATTACGCGCTTTTTGTAAGAGTTTTAGTCAACAACTCACCTCTTCTGTCGTTGTGTCTGGAGTACAAATCAAAACTTCCTCTGCCGTGGGTAGAGACTGTGAACTGTCATGCATGTATAAAGACAATAAAGTTCCAATGACGTCATCTACAGAAGCGCGAAAAAAAAAATTGTATGACCTTGAAGTCAATAACAGTACAGAGAAAAAGAAAAATTAATAACAAATGCAGATTACAACAGCAGTCAATATACCCCAACATAGCGTAAAGAGACCACACGTTACCAAAGAGATTAAAGGAAAAGGAGAAGCAGCTTACGAAAAATAAACGGGTTTTCCTACCTTTTGGAACAACCATAAAATTAGGCTTTCCACGTTTGAGATACTTTGGAATGAGCCTTCTTCGTCCTTTAGATCCTGTAATTAGCAATAAATCAGTTTCTGACGGGCGGTTTGTTAAAGTGGAAGCTTAATCTACAGCTACCCATTTTGTAAGTATTGGCATTAAATCGTACATTAAGTTGTTTTGAATGTGATTTTTTTCTTTATGATTTTCATTTTACAAAAGTCACATTCTTTAATATTCATGCCGCTGAAGCGAAATGAGAAAAGTTGCACAATAGGCATGTGTTATCCGATGGGTCCCAAAGTAAGGCCTAAGCTAATTTGTTACAACAGAAAGTTCCTAATATAATAAATAATAATAATAATAATAAAATTAATAAAAGTTCCTAGGTGCCCAGTTACTGGTTAGAGAAACATCGAAGTGAAATTCCTTTCTGTTTAAGAAAACTCCAGAGGAGAAAAAAAACGTGTAGTAAAAAATATGTGATAATAACCTTGTGACGCTAGATGAAGCAAAAGATTTCCCAGGTCATCAAGACTCAAAAACTTTCCTCCTGCAGTCTGGTCGAAGGTGAAAGTAGTTTCCATAGGTTCTGAAGAATTTTCTTCTTCAAATGCCACTTCCCCCTTTGAATGGCTACATGAAATGAAAGTAGCAAAGTTACACGCACAAAACCAAGTACAATAAATTAATTCAGCATCGTCACCAGCAAAAAGTCACGTATTAACCATAAAAGGGAGATACGTGCTAATAGAAAACAGACACCCTGTAAGACATGAGAAACATTTTCCGGATACAATGTTCCATTATTAATCATAGCCATTACAATTTCCTCAAATGTGATTGGTGCATCGGCTGCTATATATTTCACTAATCACTCTGTACATTTGTAATCAGACAGTTTGCTGTAATCGGACAGTGTAATCGGGCAGTTGAAGCAGCCAATCATACTTAGTTCACTCAGCTAAATCCACCAATCACAGAATTAATCACAATACACATAGCAACAACCACTTACCCTGAAAAAATAACGGGAAAATTTCCAAATTTTTCGCTTTAGACTTTGTCCCTACAGGAGATATTTTTCCTAAATGTATTTTCTTTTTCGGAAATTGTAATGGTTATGATTAATTGGTAACAGGACTTCGTGTCGTCCAATTCTGCCTGTAATCATACTCGTGATTGACAAATCAGACTCCCGCTTCGTGGTCGTCCGATTTTGTTAATCACTCGTATGATTACAGACCGAATTGGACTCCACTCAGTCCTATTTCCATTATAAATTTACATCAACGTTTGATTGTAATATTTCACTTAAAGTCAGAGAACACTTTAAGTTCTTTGAAATGTTTAATCCTGGTTATTAATTGCATTTTTTGGGAATTTTTCTATTCACCCTTCAGCTTTCGACTTAGGAGATAATATCACGCCAATGCCAGATTCGCACAAAAAAACTCTCACCTTTTTTTTTCAGGGGGTGTGATGCTTTCACCCTCTAAAAGTCGCGCATACGTTGGATCACTCAGTGCCTCGGCGTATTTAGCAGTGATCAGTTCCTCATTTGCGCTGTTTTTCACACTCCAAACGATAAGATCTGCCTCACTGGCATCTTTGCATGAGACTATCGCGGCTAAAGCAACTTCTTCAGAATAACCAAGCGACTCTAGCTTATCCACAAGTGATTGGAACATTTCTTGGTTTGAAGAAGGCAGTGTCCTTGCATTGACAGGTCTGCTCATTTGTTCACTCCGATGGTGACTTTCACTGCTTACGCCGTACGACCTGATGATATCCTGCCCACTTTCTTGAGGACAAATGCCACTGAATACAAGGGCAGACTTCAAAGTGGCTGGGTCAATACCTGGCAACACACTCTCCAAGAGATTATACACCTCAAGAGGTACACCATCTACTGCTCTGGGACCTCTTCCCTTCACAACTGCTAATTCTTGCCGAAGGAAAAGCAACTGGCCTGTGGTGAAGTGATTTAATTGGCCATATTGCAACCGTTTTACCCGTAATTCACGTTTCCAGTCTTGAAGACATTGTTCCATTTGTTCACTTTCACCCATTAGCTCATCTGTCAGAGAGTGGTTCGTGGTAAGTCTTGGTGAACAATGAAATTCACGTCTCCAGTTTAGATGACTCACTTCTCCTGCTTTGCAAAGTGAAATGTACACTGCAGCAAGTCGCAGGACACATTGCAGAATCTGTTAAGAGTTGGCACGAAAAATTGTATTCAGTTGGGGTAAGGAGATACAGTTTAACTGTAATAGACTTAGTAAGACGACTCAGCAAATTACCTTTTGAGAAGGAGTAAATTTAAAATAATATTTTATTACGTAAAGAATCTTCAAAAAGAGGTAAACGGAGCAAGAGTGGTTAAACTTTATACTATGAAGTTTAAATATAACAACTGATAAAACTGATGCTGAGGATTTTTTAGAAGCATGTTGAGTCACAGCAAATCTTTCTACACCTTCAGCTTGGTTCAAAAGTAATACCCCTTCAACTCCCAATATTTGTTGTGAATAGTTTGCACTAGTTAACGTTAGTTTACGCTGTAGCATTCACTTCATTGTCTACGGTAACATTCTGAGACAATCAGAAAATGTACTTGAAAGAAAGGAGAGCTAAGAATGCGTATTTCCCTTTGTGGTAATAGTGAGCCCTAAGGGTCAGAGTTCATTCTTTACCCCTACCCATTGTAAATAATGATGAAATTGCTTTCTTTTTCTTCCATTATACATTATAACTGTACGTCTATGTGTTTGTCGATGTCTGTCGCACGTTCTGTTCACTTTTTCTGTCTTCCTATTTGTCATCAATGTATTCCAGGTAACAAACAGAAACTTACGTCTGAAAATCTGTCTATTTCGTCTTTTCCTTTCGATGCCTTGGCCGCAATAAGCATCAGTTTGCTCTGCAAATCCTTCAGATCGTTAAGAGTGTAACTCTTGCTATGCTCATTGTCCCCAGCAGGCATCCGGAGTTGAATGACCTTTTCAGGAGTCAGTTGCTCCATTGTTGTTGATGTTGAATTATCTCCATTAAGACACCCAACACAGTAGACGCCATGTAAATTTATTGTCTCAGCCTCCAGCAGGGAGGAAACGGCCACCGAACCGTGGGACGTTCTGACACCCTTTATCCATTCTATCTGAAGGCTGGTTTCCAGCTGTAAATGTTAAAATACAATTTGAAAATGATTTGATACTTGTTGATTTGTCGATGTAAGACGACTAAAATGTGTTTTGAATGCTCTAAGCATTCTTTTTCAAAACTCTTTCCCAGCAGGTCAATCAGGTGTGCTATTAGTAAAAATAAAATCACGACATTTGGGGACTTATGGTTACAATCAACAGAAGACAAGTCAGGTCTAAAACGTAAGTGACACAACAACACAACGGTTATTCAGCTGGGTCTTTTGCCAATGGAGTTACTGCTAAAAATGTTGTTCTAAAGTCAAATGTGCCGTCTTCTTTCTTCCTCTAAATGCTCAAAATTTAAATGGCTTGCACAAAAAGCTCAGTATTCTCTTTAAGCAAAAGGCACGTGGAACGACATCTGCTAACAATGACCTCGGCTAAGGTTAAAGGCAGGGTGAATTTCGATATGGGCTCTTCTTCAATAGAGAAACACCGCAATTTTTACAATAATCCACTTTACCAATTTATCAGGGAGGTCGGGGTCTGCATCCACAGCATTCCACACTGGTTTACACAATTCCATCAAGTCTTTGAAGCCAAAGGAAGTTTCCAAGTCAAAAATAAGGGGAGCAAATCCTAAGCAGCTAGCATGTAAGCGGGTTATTCTCGCAGTTTCCAGGCCTTTCTCCGCATCTGATATAATTGCCAAATCCACAAGCACCTTGAGTTCTTGAGGCCCTAGAAAGAGGAAACGAAGCAGTTAGTATTACTTCAATATGATCCAAGGCACTGTTAGTTCCGATTCTTTCCCATCCAATTAGGTCCTAGAAAAAATTATACCTATTCTATTAATCAGTCTAAACAAGACACACAAGAAGGTTCGGAAAGATACTAAACCTTGAGTTTGTCGCCGAGCACAAAAAAGAACTTGGAAATGAGTTGTTACTCTCGATCGACGGTGATTGATCAACTCAAGCTGGGAAACCCAACCTCTTAAATCACCCTCCTTCCTAAGGTCACTCTCAAGTAATTGTTGACGAGGTAACATCCTAAATACGAATATATCACAGACAAGACACGATTACTATTTAGTGACCTTAAGTCTTGAATAACAAGTCAGGGATTACGTCTGAGGCTGCCCCCTTATGAGGGATATCAATCTGAGAGGTTTTAGACCTCAGTCATAATTTAAATTGCATGCATAAAAGAAACAAATCTTCCATTTAATTTAGTAATCACACAGGCTTCAAGATAAATTCTTACCTTTGATGGTCTCCTTCAACCATAAAATGAAGCCTTGACATTGGGTAACAACATCAAGGGATTTTGCGTGGTTATCTGTTATTCCAGATAATAAATTTCCCGTCCCCTCTAAGGCATCATTCATGCTTTGCAACGGCCTCTGTTTGAAATTTCTGTCCATCTGAGAAGACAATTTTTTAAAGGAAATAGAGGGATGATATTTTAAAACTGTATCTTTCCCAGGATCACGAATACTTTGTTAAAGATGTCTATATGTTCACCGAAATGGTGACAAATGTTAAATAAATGTTCAAATTTCTGTCTCACGATGTGGAGTTATAAACGAAAGTGGAGTCAAATTATCAAGTGAAGCTGGCAACGTGCTTTATCATCAAGAAATCTTACAGCTCATATTTAATGACTGCCCAGTAAACTGCGAATAACACAGGATCGTTGAGAGCTTACTCTGGCTAATTTATTCTTATAAAAGCCAAGTGTTGTAACGAATTCAGAAAAGTTTAATAGCTTTGACATTGTATGATGTAAATTAGAGAGACACCGCCATAGCTTTCTGATTACGGATGAGACCCATGACCTCCGTTTTAATTTCCTTTCCCTTGGTTCATCTTTGATAAATACCTTCACCAATTAAAAAAATACAATCGTCATTCTTCATGGACATGTCAGTTTTGCTTTTGTGAGTGATTCAACATATTTATGGTTCCAGATGCTGCCATACTCAAGATGGTGCAGCATCTGTGCTCAAAATTGGAGATCTAGGTGCAAAAGGAACGTTATATTGTTGGTATTCCTTTCCATTCTTACCATCACCCCTCTCTTTCACAATGAATTCCTAAATTCGTCATAATAGAATTACAATTCTCCATTTTCAGCTACACCTAAATTTTAGACGTTTTCTGCTGTATGAGATAGACTAAGTAATTAAAAATAATAAAGAGAGATGGGAATGAAACTTTAAGATATCTCAAACGAGGACGCCATTTATTACATCACAAAGTAAGGCACTTATAGCTATAAGTTTACCCATACCTGGTTGTACAAAACTTCAACGTCTTGGAAGTCACCTTCAAGACCGACAGCGTTCTTGAACTTTAGCATAATTCCAGCAGCCTTAATGCAAGTATGTAATTTGTGGTACTGCTTTATCTTCCTCATGCGTAGCCTGATTATTTCTTCGAGAAAATGATCATGTCGTCCATTCTGATTTGAAGTAATGAGCCGGATTTCTCCCGCAAGATCTTCATACTTGTTGTCGAATAGCTCAAGCAACTTGTCTACCTCCTTAAAAGGAATTTCACCACTTAGAAAACGCTGTTTCAAAGACAGAAGCTGCTCTTTAGATGGTATCCAAGCTAACTCCAGAACATCTGCAACAGTTAGAGAAGTCTTTTGCCCTCCTCTTTGTGCCATTATCGCGAGTGCTTTGCTTCCATTTTGCTCCCAAAACTGCCTCAATAAAGTGGAGTCGCCAAGTCGACTTAAAGTGGAGACCATTGACTTCGAGTCAGGCGAAAGACCAAAGAAAATTACCTCTGGTATCACTTCACCCCTGACAATCGATGATTGCACAAGGTCTTTAATCAGCAATTTAGAAGGATCAACTTCCGTCTTCTTGAACAATTCAACTAGATTCACTGAAAGAAAGAATATAAGGAAATTTCTTGCGACTTACATTTTAAAAGTCAACTTATTGTTTATAAGTCAGCCAAGTCAATAAAATCAAACCATTTTGTTACGCTCTCCCTTTGACACAGCACCACAGTTTCTTTAGAAACTTACCCCTTTATTGCTTTTATTAGGAGCTGGGGGAGGGGAGAGAAAATTGAACACCTCATCCAAAAATTCTAAAGGGGTGAAACAAACAATTATTGGATGAGGTTTTTGGTATATCCAGAATAAGCTGAGAATAATGAGATCTTGATTATTCTGGATATCAAAAAAAACCGAATCCAATAATTGTCCTTTTATACATTGAACGAAAAAAAAATGGTCACGACAGTAAGTGGAACTGATAATATATTTCTAAACGTGCAAAAATGTATAAATCAGCAAGCAACACAAAGTGCGCGAACTTGACATGATTACCCCTAAAAATCATTCACCGCAGTCACACATGACATGATTACCGTGACCTTGAGTGTCCTTGACATGATATCGTATAATCTGCCGTTACGTGACGTCCCAGGCGCTGATTTCAAAAATTCACTGTACGCTTTCGGCAAATTATAAAAGAGATAGTGAGTTGAATGTATAATAATGATGCTTATTGACGCCTCATTCGAATGAAGATAATGAATTTGAATCTCAGATGAAGAGGGAATAAGCTAGAGAATACTCGAATCTCAGGAAAGGGGCTTCAAGACTTAAATTTGGAGACTGGTAGACTTTCGTGTACTTTGGGTTTGTCGTATTCTTTTCTTAACGCGAGGCAAATTTCGGCTAAAAAATAAATCACACTTGTTAACCTTAAAAGAGACTTTGTGAAATTTGGACAATTCTATAGCCCGATCAATATCATATAAATGATAAAAATGTATTTTTCAAACGGAGATTTGCATTGAATCAAACAGCTATTAAAATTTTCCATAAAAAGTTGCACACTTCTCTAATTGTCGAAAGACGAAGACAACAGACAATCAAAGTGCTCTGTGAGCAAACTCGTGAATTGACACATGATTTTTTAGATTATGTTTAATGTTATCTGGTTTAGGGAATTTTGTGGTTGATTGTCATATCTAGAGTACGAGCAGTAGTTCAGTATTCGCTAATGTAGCAAAGAAACAAAGTAACGTTGGGATAAGAAGGCATTACAATTGAAATGATCATGCTATTACATTTGACAAGGTGGATGATGTCATGTGTTTTAAACGTCTATCATTTTTGTTTCTGGTTCAAAAGAAAAGGTTGGAAGTAAATGTGGGTGGAAAGTGAAATTTACTGTATTTCGTTGTAAATATTAGAAAATCAAGGCAATACTGTCTTAATGAAAACATTAACGATTCCCTCTTTATCAAATGAGACAAACTGGAACGAGTTTTGTGTGATATAACTAAGCCAAGCCTGCCACCGTCATTTTGGATCTCCGCCTGGGTAGATTTAAGTCACGTGCTAGGTAACGTATAATCAATAACAAGATAGAATTTCATTTCAGGCCTATTTATCAATTTTTGTGGTGGGTAACTTTCGCATTTTAGTACATTGTATGCATCTTGAATCTTCAAATTGTCCTGAAACTTAAAAGAAAATTGTTCTTTAAAAATTCACTGAAAATCGGTAGCTAAAATTGTTTGTTTAGGTGTTATTTGATTTTCGTGTTAACTTGTAATTTCGTCAGTCGCCGGCATCTTCTGTTGCTTCACACAGGAAAAACACACGCGACGAAACGTAATGATCAATTTTGTCCTCAATCTCACGCCATAACAGAAAAAGCTTTTGAACATCTGCAAACTCCGAGCGCTTCGCAGTAAGTAATATTTTCCATGAATCTTCGGATTGTTTTCGAGTTCAAGGATTGAAAATTACAATTTTATGAAAAACGAAGGTTGTTCTGTTATTTCAGTGTGAATCCTTGCATGCCTGCCAGTCGCTGGCGCCGCTTGTTGAAACTAAAACGAAAAAAAAACTCTTTTAAGATTATCATTGGCTTCTTTTTCACCCCCACCACTATTCTTAGCAACAAAGGTCGCCATTTCTTCTATTTCTTGCTCGCCAAAAACTATCAAATGCACTCAAAAGCCTAAAATCTAAAAAAAGTTTACAGGAATCGACCAATCGAGCGAATGCCATTCCCCACATCGTATCTATAACTCGCTCTTGCGCATGCGCGCAATTCACGAGTTAAAAATGGGTTATTCGGATACGTGGGTTTCGTACACCCGTGAAATTCGCCAATTTCTTCTAACTGCAAATTTAGCCCTTCCATGACTTGTTTCACCGGTAGGTTTCGAGCAGGTAGCAATGTTTGGGTAGACCTGAGAAATATGCATCCTGACT